TAGACTGTGATACCCCATATTTTTATACGTATTTAAATTTAAATCTATATTTCATAAAGTATTTAAATAATTCAAAATGAATTATATATGGTATTTTAATTAAAGGTCCATTTTTATTTATTTAATTATTTTGGAAATATTTTATTTAATTATTTAAAATATAAAAAAAACTTTGGGGCATATAATTTTATAAAAGGAAATTTAAAGTCAATGGTATTTAAGGAAAGTCAAAGGACTAGTTTGAATAGGAGAAGGAATCATTAAGGGTAGAAAGAGAATTTAAGTTTAAGAGGGTTTTAGAGAGAGGGTATAAATACCCATCTTATGAGTAAGTAGATCTTACCCATGGTGGAGAATACCCAAAGGTAAACTCTCTCTCTCTCTCCTCTTAGTTTCTCTCTCCTTTAATTTTCTCCCTCCCCTTTTAATTTTTCACACCACCACACACACACCACGGTGGCCGGCTGCCACCACCACCATAGTCGGTCGTCACAGCGAACACAGGGCTAACAGTAGCAGCAGTCGTGGGAGGTTGCGCTAGCCACCTTGCTTCTCCCCTTGGGTGCTTGTGTTTTATAAAAAAAAAAAAAAAATTCTTCTTTGTTTTTTTTAATTATTCTAGCTTTAATTCAATTATTATTTTTGGGTTGTGTGATGATTTTTATGACATGGATTATAAGTATTATGTATATAATTTTCAGATTTGGTTTTTGAATTAAAAAGCCCAAATTGAAAACCCTAGGTTTCTAAATTAATGTATATTGATGGAAAGATTGTGGGTGATTGAAACTAATAAATTAGATGTTTTAAATCAAAATTACAGCAATTTTACATGTTTTTATAAAGCTGAAATTTTTATATAAAGGCTATAATTATGTTTCTTGAAGGAATTTTTAATTACCCATTAATTGGGAATAAAAGTAAGGGTTTTAAATTAATTTTCAACTTATTTTAGATGGTTTATGAGTCATTTAAAAAGTGTATATATTGCTGAAAATTTATATTGAATGGGTATTAATGTATCTTTGTAATTTTGGGTTGTAGGAGATTTCCAAGTGAGTGATTTTGTGTAGTCGTGGAGATTTTGAGATCATATATAAGGTACGTTCGCATACTCGGTGATTATTTAAGTGTATAGAAGCATTCTACGCTTTGTTTAATTAATTTCAAGGTAGTATCATGATAGGTATTGGTTGGAATTGTTGATTGGATTGATGTTGGTGATTGATTTGTGAAGTATGAATTATTTGTGGTGAATTGATGATTGGAATTAATTATATTGGCATGTTGAAGATGAACTACACTTTTATTGTTGGCATGATTGAGAGCACGTTTAATTAAACTAAATGTTTAATTTGGTTTGGAATTTATAAAGGGAATTTTATTGTAGTTCATATAATTTTTATTAATGCTTTAAGCATGGGAATCGAGCTATTAAGTGTCTTAGTACACAGGGATAAATTACATTGCGGTGCCTATGTGCACTTAAGGTGTTCTAAATACCGAGGGACAGGATTTTTGGTGCCTTATAACACCGACGTAGTTTAAAAAGGATTCAACATTAAATTATGTGGCCGCTAAATATTCAAGAATTAAATTGGTATGTTTGATTGCTTGAATGATTTATTATGATTGATGGTGTTATGGTTTAAGAGTCTTCACCAAGTCTAAAAATATGTAAACAACGTAAAGTGAAAGAGATTACGCACCAAAACTCTTGGAACGTATATACCTCGAGTATGAACATATGGGGGGAGTTATAGGGTTTTATATTTAACCATGACTTCTACTGGGAGTACATGACGCTGTATTTTCCTTTTTATTTATTTTATGCGCAGGACGTCCAGTCACTTCATGTGGCATTTGCCTACCCGAATAGCTCCCGGCATAGTTTACCTCAATTTATTTGGGGCTGGGATTTTGGTGGGAAACCCGTTCGATGCGTAATCAAATTAAATAAGCAATTTAGTGGTCTAAGTACTTGTTGGTCGTATTGTGTGCTTGAAAACAGGTTCAACAAGGTAAGTTGTTTGTTGATAGGATTGAAGCATGTTAGTGTGTATCGTTTACGCTTATGTACTAAGCATTGTTGGTTGTGTGTTGTATGTTTGTTTGGCCTTGTCTTTATCTTGGCTCTACGACGACCCATTTCTAATGGCAAGTAGTAGGGACAAAGTAAAGAGGAGTTTTTCAGGTGTGGAAGCATATTCATGATGTGCATGAGTGAAGAGGGAATCAGATTTAATTTTCATAAGAATATGATGTGGTTCTGTTGCTTTAATTATTATATATTTTTCTTGTGAGACTAACGCAAAGGTTTTCAAATTTTTTATTCTCGGTTTTATTAAGGGCCTATAATGGTTCCAAGTTGTAGGTTGACTTTATTTTCATTTTATTTGACTTTTTAAGTTGACTTGTTTTGAATGGTTTTAAAGATAGTCTTCTGCTGTGTGTCTTTGATATTTGCCTTAACCGTTTTCACGGTGGCAGTAATGTCTTAGAATTTCCTAATTCGTGTTTCAAAAAGGGCAAAACAGGATTTTTAAAAAAAATAAAGGAATTTCTAGGGTGTTACATTGCTTATGTAAAAGCGGTGCTAGTACATGATAGAACTAAGGCGAAAAGATTGTGTAATCTTATCCCAGTTTAGAGAAAAAAAAAAAAAAAAACCCTTTTTTCTTCCTTTCTTACATAGTCTCCAATTACAACACTCAACTTTCAAATATCCTTACATTTTTACAATACAATTTTTTTTTTTTTAGATTTGCTAACACATGGTCCATTGTCCTCACATAGTCTTGATTAGTTAGATATGACAAAATACAAATTGGCCTTCATGATAAACAAAAAAATGTTTATATAATGACATTTGTGTAAATAAGTCAATAACTTTTATTATGCTAGTCCCACAATGTTAATTTATTTACAAAAATATCATGCTGACTAGGATGTTTGTTGATTTATTTACAGAAATGTCACTAGATAAACAAATTTTTGTTTATCATCAAGACTAACTAGAGCTCCCTCGTAAAAAATGCGCTAAAGTAATACTTCTATTTATTTATTTAGTATTTATAGGGAGGTAGTAGTATTTATCTATGTTTAATGATTAATTTTAGTTATAAAAAAATTAAAAAAATAATAATAATTGACCTATGCGAGAATTAAATTAACTTTCCTTTCAATCTATGGCCAATAATATTGGGCTAAAATTGCCATATAAGAGCAATAAAGTTAGTGCTCATACTCTACCGCCCTAAAAAGTGGTTGGTGGTGGTTTTTGTTGATATATTGAGGTTATACCTCACCGTTTCTCCACAAGTTGATCGACGATAAACAAAGGCAAAAGTGGGTGCATACTCGATATCATCATTTAAAGCATGCAAAAAAAGAAATTATAACCTCCTACTACAAATTTGTTTCACAAAAGGCAAGAATATTGTGCCAAATGAGTCAAGTCAACATCGACTGGGGAGGATCTCAATTGAGCCTCGTTAAGGGCCCATCATCCCTATATCTTCTTTTTTTAAGCCATTTTAACGAATTAGGGATTCTTACGCATGCGATGTGCGTATTGTGGCTAGTCTTTTAAGAAGAATTATTATAGGTGACCTATATGCCTTATTTGCATGATAATTTTTAAATATTTATTGAGACGAATTGAATAAATTTTCATCGTATATATACTTTGTAATTTTTGTACTCCATATATATTAAAATTAATTTAGAAACTTTGAATACTACTTCCGCTTTAGATTACTCGCAACAAATATAGGTTATGCGAACTCCTAGGCAAAAAATATTAAGCATGATCATTGAAAAATAAGGACATATACTTAAGTATTAATCTAACATAAAAAAATAAAAAATAAAAAATAAAATAAAATAAAATAAAATTGAACCAAAATTAAACTAAACCATCCACCACCACTAGCACCACCTAGCAGCACTAGAAACACCCCACCACCACCACCCAGTAGCACCGAAACCAACCAGCACCACAAAACACCGCACCCACGAACCGTCGCAACTCACGAGCCACCGCACTCACGAATCGCAACAAACCACCACCCACGCAATAGCAACCAACGAACCCTCCACCCACAACCACGAACCCTCGACCGCCGCAACCCACGAACCCTCTACCGCCGTAATCCACAGATCAGGAATCAACCAACCACAAGCCACCAACCCACGAAAACCACAGATCTAGAAAACCCTTGAACCCACTAACCCACGAAAACCGAGCGAACCCACAAACCCGCGAAACCCTCTGTTATCAATTAAAGCTTTAAATGGTCAAATTTAACCATCATAATTCTAGATTTAGAGTTTTTATGGTTAAATTTGACCATAAAACCTTCAAATTTGAGCTTTGGCGGCAATGAGGAAACAACACATAAAGGATGAGAGAGAAAACGGAGGCGGCGACAAGAAAGGGACAGCGGTGATCGGTGGTAGTGGTGATCGGTGGACGGTGGTAGTGGTGGTGGTGGTTGCCATTGAAGGTGATGGTTGAATGTAGTTTTTGAATTATGAAGGAAGAGAGAGAAAAATTATGAAGGAAGATGTTGAATGTAGATGGAGGGAAATGAATGTGGTGGTAAGGGTGAAATAATTAACCTTGGGGTTTAATGTAATGAGATTAGATTTTGTAGTTTAATTAGGATGTTTTTAAAAAAAAAGGTAAGAGTAAAATTGTCTTTTTGCATGTAAACATTTATTAAATAAGAAAAGAAAAATATTTTTTGCAAGTAATGTGAAGTGGCCATTTTTGGCAAATGTTGCGAGTAATATGAAAGGGAGGTAGTATATGCCAAATAAAAAAAAACACAAATATGTAAATCTTAAGAGCCAATCTTGGTGATTTAAGAGACAATCTTAAGGCTTTTGAATTCAATGAGGGTAAATATGTAGAAGAACATTTTTAGGATATATATGTCCATACACAATTCATAGGAGTTTTCTTAAACTTTTTATAAGTTAGAGATATATCATATGTAATAATACGCGTATACAATGTGGTGGCACAATGGTTATGTATTTATGTATTTTTGGTCTAACATCCGCCATCGTATATGCAGGTTGTAATTAATTTGAAAGAAATTGAAGAATTGTACAAGTAGCATCAAAATTAGAGGGGGGATTTTTTCTGACTAAATTTTTATAGTTACAATTTCAAGGTAATTCGAAGATTCGAAGATGATGCTTAGATATTTGAAATTGTCTGCAGTGATAATTTACAAAAAAATAATCTCCTGCACGAGATTCTTTAGTCTATGGAAATTAGTCCTCGTCGTCGTCCTCCCCTCGATCCACCAGGCCAATACACTATCCATCAGTCTTGTCTAGACCCTATGCTCGAAAGTTCAAAACTAGTATCATCTTGCTAGATCACATTGTTGGCTGTATTCTAGCTGCTCCACCTCCCAGCACATTTTCGATGCGACTCCTTCGTGGCTCGGAATATAATCCTATAACAGAAAGTTAAATCACAACAATCAGATTAAACATACTTGAATTCAGAGTACTGATCCTGTTTTAACTGAAGAAAATAACCCTGTAAAAAGATAAATTAAACATGGTTTTAGTTCCTGGCTTCCTGCACAAATTAGGCTGTTACCTCCAATTTCTTGACTAATTCTTCAGCTGTTGGAGCAGAAACAATTATATGGCGCGCACTTGGGCTAATGAACTCTTCTTCCACAGCTTGATCAATAAAAGTTAGAAGTGAATTGTAGTATCCATCCACATTAAGTAATCCAACCTGCAGACAATCAGAATTGTTCGCACATAGTCAGGTACAGAATGAGGCCTAGCCGAGTCTGCAAGTGACTAGAAACGCAGCATATCTTCACAATTTTTCTAGAACTTTACCGGTTTGTCATGAATGCCAAGTTGAGCCCAAGTTATCACCTCTAGTAACTCTTCCAGTGTTCCATAACCACCTGTAAATGATGCAACCGTTGAAACTATTTTAGTACACAAATCATAAGGCCTAATACTAACAATTACAAAGCTAAAGGTATATTGAGGTAACCCAAGTTCGGGTTTTTTATTAAGGGCATGTGTGTCAGTTCAAACCGTGTTAGTCAGCTAACTTGTTAGCTCGATCTTTCAATTTATTCTTGTATCAAGTAAATGATTTACGTCAAGTACAGTGATTCAACACAAATTCCCTAACAATTGTACTCCTAGGAAGAGTTTTGATGAGGAGATAGTAGTAAATTGTAATCCTAGGAAGAGTTTTGATGAGGAGATAGTAGTAAGAAAGAAGATTACAGTAGAAAAAGACTGATTGGTCCCCAGAAAGTCCTTCAATCAACAGTTTAACAAAACTCCAATTGGGATAAGTTTTGGAAAAGTGGGAGCATAATTGCGTGCATGTCAGGGTATAGATGCAAATGAAAACCATATACAGTATTATAAAAATAGCTACACATAACTTAATGTTTGCTACCATTTAAGGGTGAGGCAAACTTTGTTACAGTAACATGGTTCAAGAGTACATATTGACTAGAAGAGTAAGATGAGTATTATATTATTCAGTGTGAGATGTTGATGGGTCAAAGACATGAGTTTTTAGTTTTAACTGTTTGCTCTCTATTATTTATGGTTCTTGGTTTGTGTGAATCTCACCCAAAGTATACTTTCAGTGACTTCAGTATAGGGGTGTCATTTCGGGTGTTTGGGTCCGTTTCGGTGAGGTTGAGTCAAGTCGGGTTAATTTTTAAATTTAAGTCATGTTAAATTATTGTGTTCATGTAAAACTAAGCATGAATCGGATATTTTTTGGGTTGGGTGAGTTTTGACACCTCTATTATAGTATATTCATTCCTGTTTTAATTTTATCTCTAGACATTTCTTGGAAAATTTTCTTAATTTAAAGATTCTTTATCTGGCTTATACAATGATACCTGTAATTTTTTATAATAGCTCGATAAATTGTGCATCTCGTGTCGGATTATTGACACGGAAGATTATATGAATAATTATCTGAACCAAAACTCATATGTAGACTTGTATTCATATGAATCATATCTAACACAACTTATGAGTTTTTGAGTCCAGTAACAAAGCCTCCTATTAGTTATAAAGCTTGAATAATGTGTAATTAGATAGCATGATTGAAATTATTAATGTGAGACTAGGCATCTTCATTATAGGTAAACATTGTAGCCAACTAGCTAAGGGAAAAAGGTGGTAGTTCCTGAAATGGCAACACTATCGCAAGGATAAGCCCAAATCCTCAAAATATAGGGTTGGAATAATAAGTGAAGTGTAAAAAGCAAATAAAAACACAACAACAACAAATAGGACTAAAAGAAACAGAGGTGTGCTTGTCATGTAATAACAACTCTATTTTTATGCTAGTCTCTTAAATTATAATGGCTGACTAGGCTATCTAAGAGTTCAACCCATGCATTACGTTGGATGGAAAAAATTTTCAAAATTTAATGATAGGATCCCATCTATACATGATACATCCGATCCTCTATCCTAAAGCATTTGCAAAAAAAAAATTGACTATTAATATCTTTAATTATACATCTTCGTATACTGAACGCCCTCTATTGACTCATAGAGATCAATCACGACGTGGGTTAGAAGCATACAAAGTCTTAATTAATGATGATTGTTAGGTGAGTGATTGGTTAAAAATGGAAACCTGGTAGTGCAATGAAGGCGTCAGAATGGCGAGCCATCTCTGCTTTTCTTTGATGCATATCTGCCACAGCCTTCACTTCCCCTACAGTTTCACCAGTTATCTGCAAAACCAAAACAAACAAACAAAAAAACTTTTTAAACTAAGAAAATTTTTCAATAAACAAACAACATGACTTTTTGAGAGATGGATATTGGAGTCCTAAACAGAAAAGGCAATGATGAGGCCTGCAACCAAGGGTAGACATGACCCAATGTTATTATTTATTTTTTTTGTTTTCATTTATATATATATTTCCACCATTTTGACTTTTAAACTTGTTAATGCATAATTCCAGTCTTTTACGAATTATATGTCAAATTATCGGTATAAAAAATATTTTAATATTGTAAGAGTATAAAATGAGACGAATTTAACAAGATTCGGATTGCTATATTGTTTTGTTACGACTACAAGATGACGGAAAAAGTATACGTATGTTTTTAAAATTTTAAAATATATTGTTAGAAAGATATCTTAAATTCAGCTATTCCCTAACCACTAATTGATTCCATTACCAATTGAATGTAAACAAAAAGTTCAGATTCCAGAAGAAGCCAAGGAAGAAAAGGCACAAAGATAACAGTACTATAAACTCCACTGATCACATGATGATAAAAAAAGATACAAGAAAACACCAATGTGATAGTATTGCACCAACACAAGTGGGTAAACAACGGATAAGGCTACCAAGTTTACTACGAAATGTAGTATGCACAAATCATACACGCACAATACTCTAACCAAATCCGTGGACATACATACATCGTTGCTTCGGAACAAAACAATCGACGACTTACATGGATACCAGCCTCAAACGACACGAATGTAAAACAAAGCAGTAACGTAGAAGAACAGCAAAGGATTAATTAACTACTAAGACGAGTCTAATTAAAAAGTAACGAGGGATCAAATATAATCGAAAAGGCTGAATTTAGCAGTGTTATTATAGAATGATATTAGTGAGTGAAGAAGTAAAAAAGGTTATAGACTTTTTGTTGGTAAAACAGGTAAGCAGAGGCAGACATACCTCTCGAGGCATGAGCGTCTTGGGAATAACTCTGTAAATAAATTAAAATAGACAGAAACATGACAAATTTAGAAAATGTTACGGAGTAATTGATTTGATCAACCAACAACAACAACAACAACAAAAAAACAGCATGCTTTCTTTTTTTCTACTCATTATGTTTTTCTTTAATTTAATCTCATTGTTTTGTTCTGTAAACCAAAAAATAATTCGAAAATATAGAAAAAAAAAAAACAAAAATTCCAAAGATAAAATACAATGATTAGTGAAAACCGACCCACTTAATTAGTGAGACTTACCCTATTACATGCCGACCTCCACTATGAACAGCTTGAGAAACAAGTCCCATTAAACCTATGCTTCCTCCTCCATATACCAAGTCTATGTTCCTTGATACCTACATTGATCAACACCAAATCGGCTCATTAACTCGATTCCGATACCGGGATTTTTAACTTGTTCATCATGATTAATTATAGAGCAATATCCCCATTAATGCTTCATTTACAAGGTTTATTTTTTTTAATTTACTAGTACTATTGTATTGGAGTAAAGCTTCATTTTTTTTTTCGTACCATAGAAACTCGACTACATGAAGCCCGGTAAGCATAATGTGTACGTAACATGCGTTAATTCTTTCATTTACCAAGTAACATAATGAATAATCTAAACTTAGAACATGAAAACCAATTAATTTTTGTGGGAACGTTTTCTTAAGCTAAACTGCCTAAACCCACAGATTAAACCCCTTTCAAAGAAGAAATAATCGTTTTATCAAATTATACTACAAAAACTTAGTATAAAAGAAAATTTAAATTGAAAACCAAAATTACCAATTCTTTGCCAAGCTCAATGGCAGCTTCTTGATAGCTAGTCTTCTTGCCTTGACTACTACCACAAAACACACAAATTCTCCTAAACTTAGATTGCTGAATCTCAATTTTTCCCTCCATTTATTTTTACTCCCTTTTATTTTTTCTAATTAGCAAAAAAATTTGACAAAATCACAAAAGATTCTTTTTTATTTCTCTCTCTTGTTTTAGCAAAAACTGTCCCTCTTTATAGTCACTACTCTCTTGAGTCTACCTTTTTTGTGTGTCACACAACTTTTTTGCTAAATAATTTTCAAAAAATAAATAAAAATTTCATGTAATTTTTGGTAGTTACCTAAAATTACAAGGAAATATAGTTTGTTGTTTGTGTTGGGGGAGTGAGGTGGTATGCTCTCCATGCGTTTATATAAGTGGTGGATGCACGTGACTAGCCATACGCCTTTTGGCACGCTTAAGTTTTCAACCTCCCACACGCTCATACTACGAGTACTTACTACTACTCCCCACATTATACTTGTATATTTTGCACGCCTATACTCGATTATTGTCAATTAATAAATTTTTTTTATGCATATATAAAAATAATTAAAATATTTGTTATGGAATATATTATTTTATATGATGCCAAGATTCAAGAATATACTAACTTTTATTCCAATATCTTGGGGAAGGGGAATTATAATCATTTTATTTCATTTGTTAGTGAAATTGTATACATTTGCCACAAACGGAAAAGGCATATACTCTTTCAGTCACCAAGTATTTTGCTTGGTATGGTGGAAAAGTTTGTATTTCATAAATAAGAGATTGTAAAATCAAATCTTATTAGAGATACTTTTGGGGTGCGAATTCTTTTACCCTTCTCCCTTATTTTTAAAGTGCTTAACCCGCTAACCGGATTAGGTGTATTTGTGAGAGATTTTTGGCCTAAAAAGCCCTTCTTCTTACCAACCAAAAAAAAGAAGGAAAAAAAAAAAAAAAAACTCTTTTTGTCTTATACTCCGTAATATAGTCTTTAGTTCATATTTTTCTATGGGATTAGAAGGAAAGGGAAACAAATAAGATTAAAGCAAATGGGATTGAAGGGAAAGATAAATAATTGAATATAGCGGTCCCATGCTACACTACAGCCTAAAGAGGCAAGTGTTGCATGTAATTAGAAATTTATGGACACTCCATCCAATTTTTAAAATCGGGATCATTTTAATCGACACATTTGCTAAACCATACGAAGTAACTTTGACTATTAATGTTTTTAGTTTTTTATTGGTAAATTGTAAAAAAAAAAAAAAAAAAAAAAAAAAAATAAAGGAAATTATGAAAATAGACATTGTCACTAATTCAATGATATATTATATGATAAGGAAATTTCTAATGGTAACCCCTTATTTTTGAGACTCTGAAATGGTGGCCTCCCTGTTTTTTTTTTTTTTTTTTTTTTTTTTTTTTTTTTTCTACAAAATGATCCTAATTGAAATTTAATTCCAAATATGACATTAATGAGGGTAGTTTGGTTAAAAATTTAACCGTGGTTAGCAAAAATAATCGAAAGACATAAATGCCCCTTTTTTTATTTCCCCTAACTACTCGATTTTAACTCCCTCTTTCACTCTTCATCACTCGTCATCTTCTTCTCTCAATCATCTTTCAAAGCGAGTCCCATCAAGCTTCAATGTCCTCGAGACACAAAAAACGCTGAGCCTTGAATGCATTCTATATAAAACTTTCCAAAATTGACAGTTTAATTTGTTTATGTCCGAGTTCTTGGAAAGCAGATTGCTTAAGAGAGAGGGGAAAAAATCGCATCGTTGGGGGAAAAGGCGCTTAGGGTATTAATATTGTTGGTGATAATCGTTGCTAGAAAGTTGGAATCTTTTGGCAATTTCTTAACACGGAGAAGTTTGGGGTTGTTATGGCGTTGTGATTTTACCCTAGTTTCCATTTAAATTTTGATTTTTGCATGTTATTTTGTTATGCATTAGTCGTAAGTTGGAAGTCATATTTGAGTTGTTGCTTATGTTTGGTTGTTGTTGTTGATTTAAAATGAAATAATGACCTTATATATACTATATTGCATTGTGTTATGAATATGTTTGTCTGTGTTTGTGCTTGTAATATGGCAGGGTTACAGAATTAGTGATGATGTGGTGTTAAGGTTTCAGTTTAGGAGAGCAAATGTTGATGTGGTGTTTGAGGATAATAACAAAGTAATCTTGTTGAACTAGTGATTGGGTATAGGTTGTTGAAAATAAGAAACCAATGCCTAGAGATCCTACTTTTGCATATGTGCACGAGATGAAACATTAGAATTAAAACACTAATAAGGACTCGATGGTGATATTTATTAACTTAATCCCGATGACGAAACAAGCTTCACTACCTATTTTGTCTCGTTTTGCATAATAGATCAAAGAATTAGCATAATAGTTATTTTATCCCATTTCACTGCCATTATCTAATCAAGCCATTTTATCCATTTCAATAACCCAAACCCTTTTCTTAGTCCAAAATCCACAAACCTTTACCCAATTTCCCCTTTTCAAAACCGCGACCCAAAATCGAGCTAATATGACTTTTGTGGTTCATAATTATTACATAAATCATATATAATTGGATATCCCTTGAAATAAGATTTCTAATGATATATCTAAAGTCGCATAATGATTTAAAACGAACAAGATATTAGCCAAATACTAAACTTGGTCAAAAATCAACACCCTCGCACAATTTTGTCCATATCTAAAATTCTACAAAAGATATTAATCGGTAATCTTTGTTTTGGAAAGTAGACTTCTATTGCTTTCCAACGATATATCATTTTCCTTATTCCAATCCAGGATCAAAAGTAATGATAAAAATAAAAAACGTAAAACTGCTAACCCACGCAACGCGCTTTTGATATTTTATCTTCTTCTGAATTTTATCTTATCCTGATTTTTAGTCAATAAATACTAATCTATTTTCTGACAATCCGAACACGAATTTGACACCCCGACAACCAACTTTCAAACCCATACGAATTTGACACCCCGACAACCAAGTAAAGCTTCAACGTACAATTTTTATTGTTCTCAGCTTTATTTCTAATCCTATTAAAGTTTTTTAAAGTCCAAAACAATATCCGAAGGTTTTATCTTTTTTTACTAAGGTGTGAAGATAAAATCCCGAAGACAACATCAATTTTTCAAACTCTTTAATTTATTCTTTGGATTTATTATTTTTACTAAAGTTACTAACGATTTATTCATGATATAGTATTTAAAATTACGATTTGAATTGAGCATTTACTTCTGTTGGTTTTAGTTACTCTTATTATTTTTGTTGCTTTGATTATTAGTATTATTTTCGAATTATTTTGATTATTGCTAGTATCATGTTAGGTTGCTTTCAATATTTATTTGACACATGTTCTTTGTGCCATATATGATTTTTATTGCTTTATTTGTTTAATCATAATATTGCATGTTAACCAAGACTGGTAATTTATTAATATTACGCCAGAGTAAATTTTTACGGACAACCTCTTAATTAGGATCCCACTAATTATGCTACTTAATTCAATATTAGCAATTACATGTGCATTAAATAATCAATTCAATCGACTAAGCATAATCTAGTTTGGAGCAAATAGAATAATTATTTGTATGTACTGTCTTTTCATTTGCAAATGATACATGTCTCCACAAGAACCGAATAGAGGCCAATATAGGCGAAATTGATTTCTTGACTCAATTTCATACCTTCGTCCTTGAATATCAAGTCGTGGTTAATGACCATTACAGAGCTAGCAGTAATCTCATGGTTTTAATGTGGTATAACCTTCATGGTTTGCAAATCATGACTACCTTTGCCCCTTTCGTTAAATCCATGATTAGTTTACAAGTTTCTTCCCTACTTGTCTCTTGTTGTAGGGAATTTTTCAACTCTCATTGATCCCTACTGTCGTTCATGCTTTTAGGCATGGCGGCGTTCCAAGGAAAAGAAGCTAGAGAAAAAAGAGTCGCCAACAAATTTTAGGAACTTGTAAACCGTTCACGGGTGTGAAGGTTACACTCCATTCACGATTAAGGAGATCGCTAACTTCATAGTGGTCTGGAACCATGATTGGATGTTCGGGGATGATGGTATGAATCCAACCTAAAAGAGATTGAACCCACCCTATATAGGCCTCTACTCAATTCTTATGATATTCATGTGCGCTTTTCGATCAACATACATACATCAAGTTAACCCTAAACCTGTTTAATCTACGTTGGTTAATTATTAATGCACAATCAAATCTAATTATATTGATGATCACTTGAATTAAAATCATATTAGCCTAAATCAAATTATTAATTAACTTATTAGGCGTGATTTCAACTACAAACTCCCTTTAAACATGCAAGAAAGGGCGTGATCAAGCAATAATAATAAATCATGAATAATCAAGCAATATATGATTAATACAACAATCATCATCATAACAACATCATCAAAACATTGTTAGTAGTAAGATCATAGGCATGATACTAAACGAATTAACAATAAATCCTAGGATGTCACTAATAATAAAATTAAAGCGTTATCCTAAACATTAAACTAGAAATCATAAAAACATCCTAAACATGACTTCTACTCCAAAATCAAAGAATAATTAAGGGGATAATCACTTTGATGCCTCAACCTTCTTGATATTGAAACAATACACACGTTAGTAAACTTCAAGAAAGTTAAATCAATAAAGTAAATAAATCAAATATGAATTGAAATATAGATTTGGGACCAAACCCTCATAAGTCATAATTATCAACCTTTCACGTCAAGGTCGAAGGCAACATCGAGTATAGCTTAGAGTATTCGAAGCTCGTGAATGAGGTATTGTGGATGATTTAGATGTATCAAGGACATGTTTAAGCTAAGAACATGGATGGTCGATGATGATTAGAGCTAGGTGGTTATAGCTTACGATTAATGATTCTAGCTGCTTTGAGAACCGGGAAAACGACCTCTACTTATAAGAAAAAAAGAGAGTCGAAACGATCAGAAAAGATCATAATTCCAATCGAAATAAAACTGATTTTGACGCGACACGACAGAGTTATCGCGCCATGCTGGGTTTTGTTGCGCCGCGACAGGCCTATCGCTATGCGATGGTCCTAACGTGGCGCGATGGCTCCAAAAGATAATCTATTTTATTCGAAGTTTGGTTTCCAATGGGTTCTCTATGCAAAGTATATCCGAACGTATTTGAATTTGAATAGAACAAGGTTTATCAAAAAGAGAAGTTTTATTCGATCTCAAACTCTTTGATCTTTATCTTTTCGAAAAGGATAGATTAGAACCTTGTAGAAAATTCTAGAAGCTCCTAAAGAATCCTAAGT